CATGCACACACATCCCCTTTAGAGATACTGAATGCAATTATGTTAACTCTATAGAAGTGTAAGTCTCCTAATTTTTCTCTCCTTTTATTTACATGGACTTCAACATTTAATGAACCTTTATCATTTTCTCCGTAAGACTTTTGTGCATTTTTATTGGACTTAGGCCTACATGTTTTATATCGGTACAGTAATAAATGGCATTTTTATTTGATTTGCTAAGTCTTTATAGTATATAAAAGGTCAGTTGATTTTGTGTACTAATTTTGTTTCTTAACCATTCTAAGGAATTCTAATAATTTATTTCCAAGGTTATTTTCTACATTTAAATAATATTGTCCACTAATAAATAGCAACATAACTTTTTATAGAATTTATTTTAGTTAATCACCTTATTTGTTCACTAAATCAGTTTATTTATGTTGCCCTAATCCCCTGGCCAAGACCTGCAGGAGAAGGCTGAACACAGGTGGTGATGGTAGACATCCCGATCTTGAAGGGAATGCCTTCAACGTTTTCCAACATTTCACTATTAAGTATAACATATGTTACAATGTTTTTTTAAAAGATCACATATCAGGTTAAAAGTTTTTCAGGTTTTCTGTCTACTTTGCTAGACTATATTGTATTTTAAGTTATCATGGTTGTCAGATTGTATCAATGCCAATCTTTCAAAATGTTTATGTAATGTTTTTGCTTTAATTTATGATGTGACAAACATAAGATTAAAGTAATCTTCTACACTGAATTATTGATAGTAGTCTTATCAATATTACTATATATTTTCTGCATTTTAGCACTATACCAATATAACTCATTTTATCTTTTTAATTTTAACTTCAGATTTTTAAGGCAGGCACTTGGTTAATAGCCCAAATAGATACTATGTTATTGTTTTTGTAATTCACCTTTGCTGCTTGTATCTCACCTTTTCACTGTGGATTTCTTTTTCTTTTTTCTATCAAACATTGCTTTACTAAAATGAAGTTTCCTTTTTCACTCGAGCTTGTTGGTATAGTTTAGGAACACGTAATGTCCACATTCATTACAGGGAATTTGTATCTGGATGTGACATATCTTGATTCCTCTTTTTTTTCCCATTTCCATCCCTTCTTTCCAAACCCCCTCCCTCTCTGTTTAGAGAGCTCAGTTTTCATTTTCATCCTTCTTTGTATCTTCTCTATGAATTTCTTCAAGAATGTACGAATAAAGAATTTTCTGAGCCTGTGCATATTCCTTTAGAAAGAATTTCGCTGCCCATAATTACTTGGTTCCAAATTATATCCACCCCCACCACAGTCATCTTTAAATGAATTTTTCCTTGAACAATATGCAGTCCGTGGAAAAGCTTTAGTCTGATTCCTACTCATTTGTTGGCCCATCTGAAAATTTTCTGTTATGATGAATTATACAAAACAAAATTTATCACTTTCATTAAGTGTGCTTTCCAGTGGCACGAACTAGATTCTCATTGTTGTGCAACCGTCAGCACTGCCCATCTCCAGAATGTTTTCATCTTCCCAAACTAGAAACACCGTAACGTATTAAACATTCACTTGCCGTATTCCACCCCCAACACCATTCTACTTTCTGTCTCTATGAATTTGAACGCCTTATCTATTGATATAGGCACTATGTATAAATGCAGTGACCAGTACTTGTCATTTTGTGACTAGCTTACTTCATTTCGTGTAACATCCCTCATCCATCTATCCATGCTGTACCATGTGTCAGAATTTCCTTCCTTTTTAGGGCTTAATAATACTCCATTGTATGTGTATGTCGCATTTTGTATATTTATGTATCTGTGGAGACTTGTATTGTTCCCAGCTATTGGGAATAATTTGAACTGTAAACATAGTTTCACAAATATTCAAGTTCTACTTTTAATTCTTTTGGGTGGCTATATACTAAGAAGTTAAACTGCTAGATCATAAAGTAATTCAATCTCTAATTTTTGCGGAAATACCAAAATTAGAATCACTGCTTTGAATAGCAACTGCACCACTTTACATTCCTATCAGCAGTATATAGAGGATTACATAGAGTTCCAGTTTCCCTACAGCCTTCTCAGCACTTATTTTCTGTTGCCCACGTGTGTGTTTAAACAACTGGCCATCCCAGTGGGTGTGAAGTACACTAGTGCCTCATTACTTGCATCTCTCTGATGACTACCTATCTTGAGTATTTTCAATGTGCTGATTGGCCATTTGTTTATCATCTTTGAAGAAATGGCTAGTCAAGTTTTTAGTCCATTTTTTAAATTGGGTTGTTTATCTTCTTGTTGAATCATAGTACCTTATATATACAGGGTATTAAACACATCAGATATGTGTCTTGCAAGTATTTTCTTTTATTGGATGGGTTACCTGTTTGTTCTCTGAATAGTTTTGATGCATGAAAGCTTTTACTTTAGATGAAATCCATTTTAACTATACTTTTGTTGTTCATTCTTTGGATGTTGTATCCAAAAAATAACTTCCAGATTCAATGTCATGAAGTTTTCCCCCAAAACTTCTTTCTAAGAGTATTAATTTTACATGATCTTTACTCCATTTTACATTCAGTTTTGTATGTGGCATTAGGTAAGGGTCCAACTTGATTGCTATCTAGTTTTCTCAGCACCATGTGGTAAAAACTGGCCTTTCCCAAAAATACGGAAACCTTTTATAAATAAGTAGAGGGAGAGGGATTGAAGGGAAGGGAGGAAATTGGGGAAAAAAGAATCAAGATATATCTTGTACAGGTATAAATTCCCTATGATGAAGGTGGTCATTATGCATATTTAAAATGTACCTATAAAATTAACTTTTAAAGAGAGTCCTTTCCCCCATTGAGTAGTCTTGCCACACTTATCCAAAGCCATTGGCCATATTGCGACAAGTTATTTCTGGGTTCCCTGTTCTATCCCAGTGGTCTGTAAGTGTTTTCATCCCTGTGACACACTGTTCTGGTTACCATAGCCTTGTGATATGTTTTAAAATTAGGAAACGTAAGACCTCCAATTCTGTTCTTTTACAGGACTGTTTGGCTATTGATTCCCTTTCTCTTGCATTTAATCTCTTCTGATTTTTACTTAAGAATGCAAAATACATATTCCCTAAAAAGCCATTTTGAAAGAGTTCACCCAGGAATTCTTTTAGTAACATAAAAATTATTAGGAGAAACAGGTGATGTAAATGATCCACAATCAATTACCAAACAGCAAAACGCAGCAGCATGCTACAGTGATTAATAACAAAGCCCTGAAGCTTGAAAGAACTGTTAAGAAATGAGTCTGAAGAAGATAGAAATGTGAAAATTAAAAGCAACTTGGAATTAACATTTTAAGTGACTTCAGCAAAACATAGATGAAATGAGCATAGGAAGAGAAGGGAATTAAATTGAACAAAGGACTGTATCCTGTGTAGAAATTAGAAAATACGTGTTAGTTAATTCTCAATTTGGATAGAAAAGACAGATATACATATGTATTTTATAAATTTAAGGGAATTGCCAGAAGAAAAATAAAATATAACTTCTGAGAATTGCTGAGGAAAAATAAGATAATTAAGTCAGTTAAAATCAGTATAGGAAACAACAACAAGAAGATAACTTGAGAAGAAAACATAAAATAAGGTGACACGGAAAGTTCCAAATATACCACTCATCCCACTGCTCTACTCCCACACCCTGCCAAGACAAAATGGAAGCAGGTTAAATTCCCCAGTTAAAGAATGTAGACTGTGAAACTAAGCAAAGCATTAAATTTGTCCTATAAGTTATTAGATGAGACACAGTTGAGATAAAATGACTTTAAAAAGCAATAATATAAAATGAGTAAACAAAACTAGAAATACAGCAGTATACATGGGAGTGCAATGTCAGCAGCAAAATGGGATTCGAGATGGGAAGAATTCAAGAGGGATCCAGACACACCCCCCCTCAAAGAGACAGTGACCACACTAGCTTTGAAATAGTGAATGTGGACTCACTGTGCTTATGAAGATGCAGGATTTGTTCTGTTAGGAAAGGCCGGGAGGAAGCCTGCCAGCCCCTGCTACCTTTGATCTCCTAGAGTGATAGATGGTGCCTTCCTCAGCCTGGGGCGCACATTGACAGCGTGCTGTGGACCAGCGGATCCTGGATGCTATCACATGGGAAGGCAGATCCAGCGCCCCACATGATAAAGTCTGAGCAGGGTACCGATCAGACAGAAATCCCTCTCTTAGCCACTAACCGGGGACAGCACCCGCTCCTCGCATGGGAATAGCCTCCTGTGTAAAGCAGTCCGCAGGAGTCTCCATGTCAGGAGGCATGGTGCATGGGGACTTGGGTGTGATCAGCTCTGTGGCCCCTAGGATCCCTCAGGGATCCCCACCGCGGTCCCAGCAGGGACACGCGCTCCACAGTGTGGATTACCAACAGACTGCAAGTTTTCAGTGAATCACGCTGCCCTTCTCTAGCCGTCTCGGAAGTCAGGATTGGGTTCTTGACCCCTGTGGGAACCCTCCTTCCCCTACATTTTGGTAGCTTTGGGGGGTTCTGACCCCTTAGCTACTTTTCTGCAGTCTTCTCAGAGGAAACTTTTTAAAATGCTGACCAGTATGCACTTTAAAAGTAAAGGCTGAGGTGGCATGTGGGAGTGGAATTCACTGTCTGGACGGTTTCATGTGCATATTACGTATTTTAAATTATTTTTAAATTTTCTGAAGTGTTTCCCGTGCAGTCTGGGTTTGGCTCATGAAGACGGTGCCTACTCCTGTGTCTTCGGGATTTCAAGCTACTTTCTCTTCCAGTAGATTTAGTGTTTCTGCTTTAATATTCAGATCTTTGATCCATTTTGACTTACTTTAGTGCGTGGTAATAGACATGGGTCTAGTTTTAGGCTTCAGCAGGTTTTCCAGCACCATTTTAAAAAAATTCCTATTTAATTTTTAAAATAGAAACAGACTTCTGAGGTTGAAATTTTACATTCTCACTTTCTAAGCAATGTGAACGTTCTGTCCTGTTACCTTTTCCAGACTTCCAGGGGCTGCGCTCTTATCCCTTCCTCGTCAGCAAAAATGGGCCACTTCCATGAGGGACCCTGCGGCGCTGGCCTGAATGCCTGACTGCCACTCACCTCCGGAGAATACGGTGTCTGAAAAGTAAGTCCTGTGCTCAAGACATCCCCGTGCGATGCGGCAGCCGCGGGCGCGGTCAGCGTCTCTGACGAGAGCGCCTGTCGTGGTTCTGAGAACAGAGCCCCGGAAATGAGGGCCACACCCCTGTGAAGTAAGTGTTTCTGCCCACCGCAGCCCCTGCGAGAGAATAGAACCGTATTTCACACTGCGTTAGAATTTGCGCTTAGAATGAGAATCGTTACTGTTAAGAGGATCACAGCCCTGGTAATTGACAAGTATTTTACACTACTGCAGTTCACCCTGTAACTCTGTCACAACTATGACTGATGGTTAAAGTATTGTAAGAATAACGCAGGCCAAAGACAAAGAATCTCTTTGTATTTTAAAGAGAAAAAAACAACGATACAGAATTTCAAAACAAGATGATAAGAAATTAACAGTGGTTATTATACTGCATATTGTTATCTTCAAAGTAGTTGCTCAGATTACAATATATGGACATGCAAAATTGATCAAACTGTATAAGCACAAACCATTCCGTTCAATGAACTAATAGAAATTAGTAGTATAATTATCTTAGCTGTCTTCTGTATGTGTATATGTATACATACTTTCTTTTTTAAAAAAAGAAAAATAGTCTCATTATTTTAACACACTAATTATCTTAGTTTTTAATGTTTCTTCTTAATGTTTATTGAAAAATACAGTTTCTTTCTACTCGATATCCTAGCACCCTTATGACTCTTGAAACAAACATTGTCATGAGCCTTTTTGCCTAACTTTTGCCTTTTTGCCTAATTAGGAAAAACTTCAAATCTACAGAAGACTTAAAGGACTCAAGTGAAAACTCATATTCTTTACTCAAATTTACCAGTTGTTTACACACAGAGGGAGATTATAAATGTATATTATATGTATAGTGTATGCAAGTACATATGCTGTGTGTGTTGTTATTTTGTCAGAAACATTTGAAAATGAATTGCAAACATCATAACGTACTTTGGCGTGGATCTCATTAGAATAGAGTCATCCTCTAGAAAGCTAGAATACCATTATTACTTTGAAATTTAGCACTGATAAGGAAATATTATCCACAGATTGTCCCTATTCGGATACCCTTGGTTGTCCTCAAAATAGTCATCATGGTGCTTTTTCTCTGTCTGACATTCAGTTAGGTGCCACGCACTGAATTTAATTGTATCTCTTTCTTTCTTTTTTTTTTTTTAAGAGAGTAGTACATGAGAAACAAACAAAAAAAATAGAACAGTAGCAGCATACCAGTATCACGAACATAAAGTCAAAGCAAGAACATTTGTATCTATTTCATTCTAAACCAAAGCCCTCCTTTTATTTGTATCTTTCATGATTGTGTGTGTGTGTGTGTGTGTGTTGGAGATGAAAGCCACAATATCTGGTGGCAAGCACTCTACCACCGAGTAATACCTGCAGCCTTATTATACTGATGTATGTTTAAAAAAAAAATATATATATATACATTTAAAATGTATACATTTATTTTGCAGTACTGGGAATCATTTAATCCAGGACTTTCACACTGAGCAAATCCCCAGTTCTTTTCTTGAGACTTAGTCTTGCTAAGTTGCCAAGGCTGCCCTCATGCCACCACACCCAGCTCCATTAAGCTGATATTTTTGAAGAATTAAGCCACTTGTTCTGTAGAGTGCTTCGCAGTTGGATTTGTCCTCACACTTAGATCTAAATAAACATCTCCTTTGCTTTCCATGTCAGTAGGTACCTTATGTCATTTGACCTGTGACTAATGATGGGAAGCTCCTCCTCTCAGCTAAGGCGGTTTCTGCCGCACTTCCCCTCACAACGTCCTTCTGATGAGTAATTCCTCGGTGCGGTGAACTCTGGGACCGTGAGTGTTCTCTTCTGTGGCTCAGGGGTTTTAGTAACCCTCTGCAGTTGTGTTGTAATTTTTCATCATCAGCTAATCAGGGCATTAGATTTTCTTTCCTTGCACACAGTCCTTCATTTTTCACATTTTCCGTGGGTGTGAGATCACCCCACAAGGGAGTATATCCAGACAGACAAGAGAGGGACTCTGAAATTAGACTGTCTAGTATGCATCTCTCCTCTGACCTACACAGACGCAGATGACCTTGAGCAAAGACTTCACCTCGCAAGCCTTCCGTGTCCTGAAAACTAGGAGACTGGAAGTGACCGTTGCACAAGGCACCTGGTGCAGGGTGGAGCCTGGGTGTGGCTACTAATTATTATCAGACGCAGAAAGGATGGGCTGAGAGTAACTCAGATGCTGCTTTGCCGCTGAAATATTTTACAAGAGCCTTGACAAAAATGCTGATAAATCTGAATGCCAGGGCAGAGCTTCCCCATGATCAGATGATCACATTGTATGTGGAGGGAGGGTACTAGGTGATGAATCGAAGGCCTTCGCATTGAGCTACAACCCCAGCACTTTTTACCATTTTTTTTTCTTTTGAGATGAGGTCTCAAGTTGCTAAATTGCCCAGCCTGGACTTGAAGTTGTGATCCTCCTGCCTCAGGCTCCCGAGTCCTGGGATTATAGGTGTGTGTCACCAGGCCCAGCTAGATTCTCCACCGAGCAGGCTGCAAAGGAAGCACAGTCTCGTGGGTGGGAAGCTCATGTCAGGGAAGAGTGTCCTGATGAAGTTCGAACATGCTGCCCTTATTATTTCTGACCTTCTCGAGTGCCCTCAGCTCCTTGCACTCCCTATGCCCGGGTGTCCCTGGTCTGCGGGCCTTTCACTCACCAGCAACCAGCTGGAGTTTTTGTCTGAGACGTGTTAGATATCTTTCTGTTTAGACCAAGTCACTTGGACTTTACATGCACTCTGTGGGCATGGAGTGAATCTTCCTTGAGACTGTTCTGAAATTTAATTAAGTTTTAATGAAAACTAATTTTAACTTAAACAGCTTGTATAGGTTAGTTTAGACATTACATACAACTGTGGCTTAGATAGTCTTAGAAAATAAGATCATCCTTGGAGAATATATTCACATCCTAAAAATGCTCCTTCTGAAATTTTTACATGCCTGCTTTTCTTCCCGTTAACTCTGAGATGCAGACAGGGGCAGATGTTCACACGTGCTGCACACCAGTGTCCGTGCTTTCTGCCTGCATCTCACTGGGCTCAGCTGGGAGGACGGCCCCGTGCGTGCTCCCGTTCCCAGCCTCGGGAGGTGAGCCGCCCCCGTTGATCTGTGGTCATCAGAACCAAGCATGTGCCCTGAAGACGCAGAGGAAGTCTCCCCCACCTCCTGCTTCCTTCTACCAGCAGTTGCTTGGCTCCATGATCCTCCCCTTGGGGACAGCCTGTGCCATTTTTATTTTCCCAGTTTCGGGCATAATGTACAAGTTCGTGAGATGACTGAAGCACAGTTAAAAACCACAGCAGCCATTCTCTGGTTTTCCATAAACACACTCCACCCTCTTGATATCACATGCCTGTGTTGCCAGGCCCTGTGAGACGGCGAGACCTACACCTTGTTCTTGCTGAGCAGAGGTGATGGGTTGTCAGTCCCAGGATCAGTTCAAGAAGACTGTGACTTCCGCTCTGGTCACGCTCGAACTGCCTCTGCTCATACGGTCGTTCTGCTGAAGCAGCTGTCACTCTGTGATCTCCCCTACGCAAATGCCCACATGGCGGGGAGCTTCATTTTTTAGTTCAGCGGCCATCAGGAATAGTCCAGCCGGTGGTCACATAAAGAGTTGGGGGAGGATTCTTCCTCGGGTGACCTCCAGACAAGACTTCCGCCCCGGCCAACATTTGGATTGTGGCTGGGCATGGTGGCGCACACCTGTAATCCCAGCACTCTGGGAGGTGAGGCACAAGGACCACAATTTTGAGCCCAACCTGGCAGCTTAGTAACTTGATGAGTTAACGCTGTCTCAAAATTTAAAAAAACCAAGGTCTGGGGAGGTAGCTCGGGGTGAAGGCCCAGGGTTCAATCCCTAGTACTGGAACCTTGGGAGTGACCCTTAACCAGATACCCAGCTCAGCCACAGTCTGCTACCTGCCCTACATAACCTATGAAGTTATAAATATGTGTTGCTTCAAGTCCTTAAATTTGGGAGTCATTTGCTCGCAGCAATAGATAGCCAATATAGCAGCCACGAAATTTACTGCATCGAGTGCACTTGAGTATGTGCCTCCCAGCAGAGCTCACATTCGTCTCTGTCTCTGCTTCTCTTCTGCCTTCCCCTTCTCTCCCCCTGCACCCCTATTATTAATCTTCCCTGCTTGATTTCTGTTCCATTTCAGTTCCCTGTCCCCACAGCTGTGATGCATCCTTGACATTGATTAGAGAGGCAGAAGTCAGAGGGAGCTTACATGTAGGGACAATGTGCCATTCAGGAAGAAATACTCTATCCTTGGCAAAGGGCAGAGAGCTTTCTTGGCCGGAATCAATCGCTTCAGACTTGCTGAAATGATTTCCTCCAGGCTGCAGTGCAGCCTATTTGGTCTTGAGCCAAGGACTAGTGTTTGAGTGAAATTGGTTTCACCATTCTTTTCTCAAGGGAGGAAGGACAAATAAATTTTCTGCTTAAAAATGCAGTTTCTTGACTTGAATAGTAGATCCCATAAATTTGGGCTTCCTATTTATCAGTTTCAATACAGAAACCTTTTAAGAATTATGAGTTCCTTTGCTATGACACAAAAGTTGCCCAAAGCAAATCTTCTGAAGGAATGGAGCTCCCAAAGTTTTTATTAGATTTTTCAGGTTATTAGCTTAAGAATACATTTGAAAATGGATACACTGATAATGGCACAGGCAGTGACAGTTGTGCCCACTCCATACCAGGCCCTGTGCTGTAGAGCCACCACCTCAAGGCTATGAAAACAGGAAGTGCTGTCCTTATTTCAAGATTGAGAACAGTGAGCATCAGGAACGAGGCATAAACCGTCCCTAGCTCTTTATGAATGCCTGGTGGGTTTTTGTTTGTACAATTGTTTCTAGTGACCAAAAGTGAAAATCCAGATAACTAGAGAAGAAAACAGCAGATAGCATATTAA